GTCTATACGTTCCTTCGTTTGAAATAGTGTTCTTTTTTCTTCTCCCCGGAAGGATTCCAAAGGAGAAAAGGTTAGAAACATTGGACTTAAGTGATGGGAGATGCTTGTAAGTATGCAGTTGTTACAGGAGCAAACAAGGGAATTGGCTTCGAGACTGTTAAGCAGTTCGCCAATTCAGGTGTAACGGTTGTCTTAACAGCCAGAGACGAAAACAGAGGAACTGAAGCAACATCCTTGCTGAATGAACAAGGATTTTCAAATGTTGTCTTTCATCAGCTTGATGTTCAAGATGCTCAGAGCATTGAGTCCTTGGCAAAGTTCATACAAACACAATATGGGAGGCTTGATATTCTGGTAACGGACCAATTTCTCGTGAAAGTTGCTTAAAGTTATTGGAGATGAATCTATGTATATTGCTCCTCATTCGATCTCGAGGCAAATATTGGACAGTTGCTGAATATATTTCTGCAGGTAAATAATGCTGGAGCTTCTGGAGTTGTACCTGATGAAGATGTCCTAAAGGCCATGAACATAGATCTTGTAGACTGGGTAAGATAATTTGCTCAATGCTTAGGTCTTGTTTTGTTATGCAATTCGATCTCATATCTAAGCTTTGAGGTAGGCGATGGTCCATGTGTGTGGTCTGATCTTGCTCTGACAAACAACTCAAACTTGGACTCAACCGGCAAGTAAACACTTCAACTTTGAGAATGCACATCTAGACACCTCCAAAATTTATGTCCACAAGACATAGTGGGATGAGTTGAAGTGCTTACTTGTCAATTGATGCCAAGTTTTTGAGCGTTTGTTTATATGGCCGATCCTAACTTGTTTGAGACTGAGACGTAATTGTTGTTATTGTAAACAGTTACCAGGGAAAACTTTCGATGACATTCAAGCTGTGATGAAAACAACGTACAAGCAAGCCAAATTATGCTTGGACACTAATTACTATGGTGTTAAGAATGTTACTGAAGCTCTTCTTCCACTGCTGCAAAATTCCCCTTCACCAAGGATTGTTAATGTCTCCTCCCGTAAAGGTGCTTTAAATGTGAGTTAGACGGCCATTCTCGTCGTTGCTGAACATTTTCATATTTCTTGTTGATTTTTTCTTCTCACACAGCGAATGCCAAACGAGGAGAGGAGAAAGGAGCTCGGAGATATTGAAAACCTAACAGAAGAAAAAATCGACAAGATTCTGCAGAATTTTTTGCATGATCTGAAACAAGATGCTCTCGAGGTGAACGGTTGGCAGATGAATGGACCAGTCTATAGCATATCAAAACTATCACTTAATGCTTACACCAGAGTTCTTGCAAGAAAGTACCTGAAAATGTGCATTAATTGTGTCCATCCTGGTTTCGTCAACACGGATATAACCTGGCATAGAGGAACAATGCCAGTTGAGGAAGGAGCTGAAGGACCTGTCATGCTAGCTCTTTTGCCTGATGGAGGACCTACTGGTTGCTACTTTGATCGTACAGTAGTCTCCGAGTTTTAGATATAACAATAACTATGCCTCAGTTCCAAACAAGTTGGTAAGGTTTAGTGAAAGAAGACTTTCTTTTAGCATCTCTTGATATTTGGTTAAATTTCTGAGCCTGGTTGGTGTCCAGACGTTGAAATGACGAGGGGAGGGAAGGATTATACTGATCATTCCTCCATTCCTAGACCCCATTTGTGGAACTACACTGGCTATATGGTTCTTTTTCCTACTTGATATCATTTAGTAGTTCTTTTCTATTTTAGGATAATGATTATCTGGTAAGTGTAGATCATGAACATGATATCACATCATTTCATATATTGAAAAGCATAATAACTAAGAGATAAGTCTCTAAAATTGTGATACTATTAAAAGTTGAGGTACCAAAATGGTTATTACAAAGCAAACTGATTATAAGCTGAAGTGAAATCCTAAAAACTAGTCCAGCACTGAGGCAAATGACTCAGTTTGCACTGTTCCATTTGAGTCGTTATGCACGAGAGAAATTTTTCAGAAAATGCATGAGCTTTCTTAGCCTGATTTCAATCTCCAATCTGGAAGCAGAGGAGCAGGAAGAGTCGATTTTTCGTCCTATGAGGATCGAATGTTTGTATCTCAGTGCGTAATACTCGGTCAACGGAATAAATCTTGAATGTCAAGGATATCAGCTAGGACACCAGGTGCTGTGGTACATTTCCTGCTCCAGTACCTTGGATAACCGAAAGTTGTTTCTCGTAACAACGGATGTATATCTCCACCTGCAGACAAACGAATTACAGACATTCAATCATCATAGTCATTCTTCGACAAAAGCAAGTCATTAATCCTACTATTTGTATAACCTTAGCTGCACAAAGTTTTGCAGGGCGACTCCAGATGAAGCGTGAAGAGTAAAGACAAAGTAAGGCGTTAGCCTAGGCATGGGCAAAAGATGAGCAATTCTTTAAATCACAGCATGATGTTATACATCACTACACTAAATGACATCACAAAAGGGCTTGAAACAATTAAAAATGGTTTACCTTGATAATCTAATAACGATGCGTATGATATAGTTGAACCTCCATAGCAGTAAAAAGAAAATTCCCAACGGAAAACAAAGTAATGGAACAAGAAGAGGAGGCACCAAAGAAACAGCAAAATTGAGGTGAAAGTGCACAATGCATACCACATTATGAGAAGGATACCCATTGATGAAATCCCACATATCTGGAATGGAACCCCTAGCTTACAACCTTGAACAAAGACTTGAAGATGAAGAACCTTAGTTTCTTCCTTGAGAGGATTTAAGAGCACTGTTTTTAAGTTCCGAGTGTTAGGCGTGAATGGGGAGGTTTGGGTCGACTAAATTCCCCTCAACCCCACTTAGAATAGGTTAAATAATCATCCTTTATAAGGAAAAACTAGTAAAGACTAAAGCAGACATGTTTAGAAAAGCCTATTTTGTTGGTCCTCTACTGTCAAACTCCCTATACCAATTTCCGTCGTCTTTTGAACCCAAGACCAATTGCAGTCCATGTCCTTTAATGTAGCTTGGAAGGTAGTGACGAGAGTAAAGCAGACATGTTTAGAAAAGCAGATTAACAATACAAGTGATCTTCAAAACTTATTTGGACGTACAGTAAATTGCAACAAAGTGTAGTAAGTAAGACGGCATCATATTTTGAACGGCATTTGTGAATCAGCTAAAACTAGAAGAACTAATAAGAGATGGCTTTTTCTTTGTTATGCTGTCAATTCTAAGAAGTAAAATACAACCTAAAGAGGTTTGTTTCTGATAGACCCCTGACTTGAGAACAGGTTTTAAAGAAGAAAGAGGTGTAAAATCTTTTCCTATTTACAGGCTGTTCTGGAAGAACTCCAGAGACACAAGAAACGGAAAAGAAATGTCACGACGACCTTTAAACCATCCAATATTCATACTGATGTAACAGAATCTTGCAAGCGTTTCTCCATACCTTAGACATGTTCTTTTTATGTGGTGATGGCCGTTGTCTCCTCGTAAGTATACATTTCCATGGATGATTGATGTATATTCTTTCTTCTTATGATTTCAAGAATATCCCCAACCTACATAAATGTTTGTAAGGAAATATATATGCTTCAATAGAAACCAATTGACAAATCTTCGTTATCCATGATCATGTTGTGGCACGATTAAATATGTGCAAACATTGATGAATAGTGCAAATACAATGTATCTATGATTCATTTAAAAAGATTTTCTACAGTGACACAGATCTTTATTCTACTGTAAGCAAAGTTTCATTCTTGACATGGAATCTTCGATGCTTACAAGAACTAAAAACTTCCAATTAAACATGGTTGCACAAGCTACATATGATGTCTTTTGCAATTAAGATGTGAAATTAAAACGTGAGCGATGAAAATCGCGTAAAACTTACCCGCACCTGGTGTGTACACCAATCCAATGCATGCATGCCATGTGTTTGAATTTATAGTTCAAGCCAATACCTGCCATCCAACAAATATGCAATTATATAACGCACAACAATTAGAAGCAAAGTGAGGTGCGAAAGACCAGTGAATGCAGCTCATGATGGCCGGTCATTAAATTGAGTGACTTTCTAATAAAACAATTCAAAGTTGAGTGACCATCTAAGATATTAACTCCATAATCTTGGGTCAGAAATTAATCCAGTGGAATTCCAAGTGAAAATTCCTTAACTTAGATACTAACTCCATAACACTTGGAACTATTCAAATGAGTCTCATTTGAGCAAATGAAAATTCCAAGTGTTTGCACTTTCACATTCAAGTAAGAATCAAGAAGTTGATTGACCAAACAACTATCTTAAAAGCATAAAAAGTTAAATAAAAATTGTAATAAATGGATGACAAAATAATCAAGAGATGCAAATTTTATGGCTACAAATCAACCAGATATCCAGAATGTTGGATAACGGAGATACATTTTTTAAATTCAAATAATTGAAGTATGTTTCACAAAAATGAACAATACCAATTAGGTTGGACACAATACCGGAGCAGCAAAACAAATTGCAACAGAAAAAATTCAGGTTTAGGTTTTAAGGAAAAATACAAAAGCAATTACAATAAAGATAAATTTAAAGGTCAACTTTCTGGAGCAAGTTATCTCAATTCCTACCTATACTAGATATATTTTACAATGTTTCAATGCAAATATAAAAAGAAGTAACCAAAAAGAATTAAGAAACAAGCAAAGAGAAGTAACCAAAAAGATTTACATAAAGAAAAAGAATTAAGAAGCAACCAAAAATCAAAAGATACTTGGGAAATAAAATAACTTACTCGTTTTAATCATTATAAGTTCTCCCAATCAACATTTATGGTGGAAATATGAGCATTTTTTGGTCAGTAGCTGTGGTTTGAGAATAAACAGTCCACACTGCTCAATAAGATTTTAAAAAGGAAAAGAATTAACAAAAATGCAAAGTGAAGTAAACAAAAGTAAAAAGCTTCTGATGAAAAAGAAAAACTTACATCGTTGGAGAGCCATTTGGTTTAATCATCACAGGTATTCCCGATCAATCACAACGGTGGGAATTAGAGCAATATTTGGCCAGTATTCCCCCTTGTCAAATTCTAGTAGTGGTCTGAGCAATGGGCAGTTGTAAATATGTAGTTTAGAGAAGGAAGACGGCATCCCTTTTACCGGAAGAGATTGGAGGTTAGGGCAATCCTTGATGGTCAGCTCAGAGAGGGAGGAAGGCAGTGCTGATTCGGAAAGTGATTGGAGATTAGGGAAATTCCTGATGTGTAGACTTTGAAGCGAAGTGAGGTGCGAAAAGGAGGAAAACCGGCCTTCTTCCAGCATTAACTGAATTTGAGGTAAATTACCAATACATAAACATTCAAGAGAGGTGAGGCTTTTGAGAACTTTGCCGCTTAATGTTTCCAAATTGCGAACGGTAAGCTTTTGAATAGAACAAGGCAACTCCCAATGTTCGATATCTTCGTCACTGCCATCATGTACGATGAATAACTCCCTGAGACAGGGGAGTCTTTGTAAATGCCACTCCTTACGGCCGTTCACCAGTTTCTTGCAATTCCAGATCTTAAGTTGTTGTAAATTGAAGGGCAATCCACCATCAGAAAAGGACTCCATTTCCGGACAATTACACAGTTCCAGTTTCTTAAGAGATGGAAGGAGTTCCTGCATATGTTCTGGCAGCCACTTCAGCTTCTCACAGCCGTCAATATACAAATACGTCATCTGGATCCTCCCACATGCCACCGGAAGTATTTCAAGATTCTCACAATTCAAAATATAGAGTCTTTCAGTCGCAATAGGAATCAAAAACCTAGTAAGGTTGTGGCAACGACTTACACTCAATTTCTGTGCTCTTGGGAGTAACTCAGGTGATATATCATCTATACAATCACATTCTTCCAGTATCAAATCCTCAAGAAACATGTCATAATAACTCTTCTCACCAACAGGCACCTTCAATTTAAATTTCTGGCAATGAGATATCCTTATTGTCTTCAAGGTACTCGGCAGAATGCTAAAAGGAAAGGAGGTAAGAGAGTTACAATCAGTAATAAATAATCCCTCAATCTGCTTCATTTCCTCATGTTGGGATGTAAACAGTTTAGGTGTCTCCAAATTGAGTTCAGGACATCTTGAAATTCTCAATTCTATCAGAGAACAAAGATTTTCAGGCAACTTCCCCATCAACTTTGGACAATTTTCAATTGAAAGGTTCTCAAGTGCAGGAAACTCTCCATTCCCTAGTGCATGCCATTGCTTCCACTCTGGCATATCTTCAAACTCTAACTTCTGAAGAGACTTGAAAGGGTTTTTCTTGGACGAACTGCCATAGAATTCTTCCGTCACCTCTGTTATTCGATGCATCCCTCTAATGGAAAGATGTTTCAAACAAGGAAGTTGTCCTACTGCTGGCAAGGAATCACAGTCCTTGCAGTTGCTAAGAGACAATTGTACTAGCTTAAGAAACGAATGATCAGCTAGCCAATTTGGAAATTTTGTTCCTCTATATCCAGTGATTTGGAGTTCTTTTATGTTTCTATGTGGATTTAGCTCAGCAAGTATGTCTCTTTCAGTTTGTGAATTGTCAGCACTACTTCGACTCCACTCCAATGATAACTTCTCAACATGATTCTTCTCCCTTATCTTTGCCTTCACAGCTTCCTTTCTATCAACCACATTTTGCAAATCTAGAACTGATAGAGATCCATACAAGTTCTGTACTTCACCCAAATCTTCCATTCTCAAACCACCACAACCACCTAGTAGAAACTTGGCTCCCACTAGCACTTGGAGGCTTTTCAAATTGCTCAGATGTAGCGGTATTTTCAAGAGAGAAGTGTTGCTTATGTCAAGTTGACGCAAGTTAATCAACTTCTCCATCTGCAGCGGTAGTTCCTCAAGATGATGACAATGTGACAGGAGAAGTGTCTCTAAGTTATACAATACACAAATGGAATCAGGCAACTTTTCAATCCTTGTCTGAGAAAGGTCCAAGAATCTGAGGAGCTTTAATTTGATAAACAAGTCCTTTGGCAACTCAACAATCTCATAGCGTGACAACGATAATGCCCTCAAGGATCTTAGTCTTGGCAGTATGTAATGCTGCACCCTCTTGCTTAGATAGTAACAATAATTGAGATCAATACATGTCGGAAGCAATGTCCTCAGCTGCTCCAATTTGTCAAGGGGTGTCAATTTCTCAAAGTCACCATAACCCATTGAATATGATAAGTGTTGACTTTTTTCCAACATACGAGATCCTTGGCTCTCTTCCAACCTGATACAAAGTTTTGAAGATGCAATTTGGGCTAAATCATTGACAAGGTCATGCATCAAGAATGTCTCTATGTTCCCTTGAGAAGGATTTGGGACCCTTTCAAATAACGATCTTGATCTCAACTCGAGAAAGTACTGGTTTCCTGAATCTTGAATAATTTTATCTTCCTGCAGTATTAGACCATTAGCAATCCACAAATGAATAACTTGTTCTTTCCTAAACGGATAGTCTTTGGGAAATATTGCACAATAGGAAAAGCATCGCTTTAAATGTGCAGGGAGATCATTGTAGCTCAACATCAACGCCGGTAATATGTCATTGTGTGGAAGCTCCCATATTTCACTTCTCAAAATACGCTTCCACCCTTCAACCTCTGGATTGGAGCGTAACATGCCAGCGAGCGTCTTCAGAGCTAAGGGCAAACCTTTGCACTTAGCTGCAACTTGTTTTCCGACCTCTTCAAGTTCCGGATGTCCCATAGGATCCATGTTTTCGAATGCATGTCTTTTAAATAAAGACCAAGAGACTTCAATAGACAAAGTATCCATGCTAATTTGCTCGTTTCCCATCATCATGGCAACACTCTCTTTACGTGTAGTCACAATGATCTTACTTCCTATATCTCCTTGTACAAAAACATTTCTCAAGTCATCCCACTCGTTGTAGTTGTCATTCCACACATCATCCAGAACAATAAGAAACTTCTTTCCCTTTAAGCTTTCCTTCAATATGACTTGAAGCTGATTAAGATTGTCATCAACCTTTAAGTCAAGTGAACCAATTTCTTGAAGCAACCCTTTTGTTATTTTGAAAGCATCATATGACTCAGAAACACAAACCCAAGCTTTCAAACTAAAACGGTACTTCACCCTCTCATCATTGTAAACCGCTTTAGCAAGTGTTGTCTTACCCACGCCGCCCATTCCAACAATAGAAACTACAGTCAACTTTTTTCCATTTGCATCTTCAGATAATAAACGGTCAATCAAATTCTCTACATCATTCTGCCTTCCAAAGATATCAGAATCATCAACCAAAGAAGTTGAAGGTCTTCTAGTTTCTTGTTTAGTCGAACCAAAATGCTCCTTTAAGCCAAGGAAACCAATTTGCTCTTGTAACTCCTTCAATGTTTCAATAGTGTCTTCCAACTTCTCCTTTATGTTGAGGAAAAATTCATCACTCAAGCACAGGTTGAGGTCACTTACTTGCTGGTTGCTTGTTTCTGCAAGATTTTGATACTGACCTTCCACTTTAAGTCGCAAAACTTCATAATTGACTTCTTCAATTAAGTTTTCAGCAGAATCCACAGCATCTCGAAGCTCATTAAGCCACTGGCTCACAAATTGATTTGATGCCTGCTTATTCTCTGCATCACTTAGCACAGCTTGAAGACCAAGCAAAGTCATTCTCAGCTTCTTTAAGAGACGAACATCTTTCGCATGTTTCTGAAACATCTTGAGCAGATCACCCTGAGGAGCAAGCCTATCAAAGAGAACATTCAAAGCTGAAGAGAGAAATGCACCACCCACTGCTAAGCCAATTTCCATTTCTGAAATCTGCAAAGCAAATCAAGGAAACACAAAATGATTTTGAGAAGACAAATGTTTTTATGTTCAATTACTAAAGGAACTTTACTTTACCTGTTGAATGCTAAGAGTAATTTGCAAACAAGAATGATCAGTGATTTCTTTCTCTTTTTTGCTAGTGGTCTATAATTGGTATAACTATAGTTTTCTAAGAGTATGACTTTTCACCCAACAAGAAGAGTCTTCTTGTTTATCTCAATTGAATAATTGAGGCAAGAGAGGAAGGATGATGTGGACAGCCATAGAAGAAAAAATAATCAAAACTGTCCTTTTTTGTCCTTTCCATGAGTATGGCTTTCACCCAACAAGAAGACTTTACTATGATTTTTTAATACTTGAAAACATGTCAAGAAGTTGGGAATTTGATAACACCAAGAGCTACAGTGAAATGATAAAAGTTTTCCCCTCTAGTTGTTTGGTTATATATGCAAGATCTTTTCTTTATAAAAAAAAAAGAGATAAAATTTTCTCGTAATTAATTAGAGTTTCCGAGCTTGAATCGTTGTGATAAAGTCCTCTCAACTGTGAGAGCTAAAACACCTCATAGCAAATTCAGATTAGGTGAAACTTATTTGTATTTGTTGTTTACAATAAACCAATATAGACATGATATGCGTTCACACAAAGACTACTCAAATTTACTGAGATTAAATTCAAAAAAAAATATTCAAGTAGAGAAGCTTCAACAGTTTTAATTGTTTATATATTATTCCTATTTTAAAAAAAGGGGAAATAGAGTTAAGAACCTTTAGTTTGGTGGGGACCACATACCACCAAATTCACATATTTCTGTTGGAAATGAAACTTTCACCAACTGAGCTACGAACCTATCGTTACCAAAACCCGATCAAGAGAAATAAATAAATTAAAACTCGCTAATAGTTGAGGTCAGGTAAGTCATTGTTTGGATGATTTTAGATGTTAAATTATCTGGAAGTAACCTCTTGTATTTTTGATATATAGGAACTAGAACTTTCTTACACATGTACTTTGGATATTCTATTAGAGACTCTTAATATCCAAAGGACAATAAGATTCTACATGTTATCAAAGCACAAGGGTGAACATATGCAACTCTAAATTGCATCCTCCTTTCTCAAGTCAGTGGAAAAATTGAAACAACAAAATGCATGATCTAGGTAAGCGTATTCGCCATGGTAGTTCTATTGAATTTAGCTTTAGCTTTTTCCAATAAGACTATTCACGTCGGGATGACATGCGGCTGAACAAGATTTAACAAGAGAAAATAATAAACAAACAAGGTAAGATTAGAGAAGTAACGAAAAATAAAAAGCTACTGAAAAGAAAAAAAATGGAATAACTTACATTTATCTGAACACCACTCATTTTAATCATTACAGCCAAATTATTCTCAAAAAAACTGTCTTACTGTTGTCAAGTTCCTGACAAATAGAAAAGTTGTTTGTTAGTTTGCCATAGAACCACTCTAGAGATGATACTTCTCATAACATACATGCAAAACTTAAAAACAACTGTCGTCATTTATAACGAAAAATGTAGTAAAGACTAAGGTAAGGGCTGTTTGGTTAGTCCTCTACTGTGAAACTCCATATACCAATTCAGTTGTCTTTTCAATCTAAGACCACTTGCAGTCCAGGTCCTATAATGTAGCATGGAAGGTAGTAACGAGTTTAAAGCAGACAAGTTTAGAATGCAGATAAATTGTCAGGATTACACATTTTCAATCACACGGATTTATTAATAAACAGTTCAAAGCATAAGCATAATGTTTACAGTCAGCGATAACAGAACCGCGAACCTATCTTAATCTGGAAGATAAAAGTGACTAGTCTGAATTCACTTACACTTTGATGTCAAGTGACTGTCTATCAACAGAGAATTGCAGCAAAATTTCCTTTCACCAGCTGAGCTAAGAGCTGTAACAACTTACATATTGTTACCAAAATCTTGACAACACGAAAAGGCTAAGTGAAAATAGTAATGAAGATGTTCTCGGTAATCGTAGACCATTCATTACAATGTTTGTCTTTGTTTTGTGTAGTTACCAGTTTCTGTCGAACCCATAGCTTCCTCTCTAGCACCGCCCATGTATGGGAAGATTTCCACTAAATAAAATATATAATATAAAGAGGAGAAAGAAAAACAAGAACGAAGAAATTTTAAGCAGTATGAACTCATACACATAGATCATTTAATCAGTATTAACAACATCAAAAAATTATGCAAACAAAGTGTCCCCTGTTTCTTATACATTTTACATTGCATTTACAGTTTTTTTCTAACCATTTGCTTCCAGAAATTCCAATTTCTCAATACAGAAAGTCCAGTAATGGAATTGTCTTTTGCTTTCCGTCTTGGTATCCACAGTAAAAGGAACAGCATTGTTGTTGTAACAGAATCTTGCAAGAGTTTCACCATACCTTAGACATGTTCTTTTATGAGAAACCAATCCAGTACCTGCCATCCAAGAAATATGCAATTATATAATGCACAGCAATTAGCTACAAGTCTATAACATCTAATTCTAACAATTGACGTTTACTTATTTCCGAAAACTTATGATCGTTATCCGTGATTATTTTTTCAAAAATTTAGATTCTCTATGGAGCTTAAAAATAAAGCTATGCATTTGATGATGAGCATGGCATAATTTATATTCTGAAAAGGATATTAAACATCATTAATAGCAAAAAGATACATCTTTCTGACGATCACACAAATTTATGTATAAACAGTTCAAAGCATAAACAAAACGCTTAAAGTCAGCGATAACCGAACTGCAATACTACCTTTATTCACTTACACTTTGCTGTTAGACCACATTATTCAAGCGACTGTCTATTCAGTAGAGAATTGCAGCAGAACTTATCCTCTTCACCAACTGAGCTAGAGCGGTAACAGCTTATATAAATTGTTACCAAAATCCTGACAGAGAAAAAAAATTGCTAAGTTAATATCCAATAATCATTAATAAAAGCCTAAATAGTGTTAATGCTTCTAGTTGTTAAATATATTGGGAGGCAAACAATTGTATTTTTGATACATAGGAAACAAATCTTGTGTATCGTACACATTTGAATTCTATTAGAGCTTTTAATTCAATAGCGAACAAGTGCATAACGCTAAACTCAATAAAAAGGGAAAGAACAAGTATACGTTCATGGTAAAAAATTACTTATTCATTAATATCACACCAAGCTATCAATTATGTGGAGCAAATAATTTTAGTTTCCATCTATACTAGATTTGTTTTACAATGTTCCCACGTGAATATAAAGATTCTATCACCCTTTTTTTGGTTATCTAAAATTAAATTCATCTCGAACTGAAGATGATTTTTTGGCTTCAAAGTGGCAACAGACACTCTATACTGCTCAACAAGATTTTTAATAAGGAAAAGCAAAGGGAAGTAAGCAAAAATAAAATCCTTTTGAGGGAAAAGAATAACTTACATTTGTTAGAGCAGCAGCATAGTTTTAATCATTACAGGTATTGGCCATCGATATATATGATGGGAATTTGAGCAATATTTGGCCAGTATTCCCCCTTGTCAAATTCTAGTAGTGGTCTGAGCAATGGGCAGTTGTAAATATGTAGTTTAGAGAAGGAAGACGGCATCCCTTTTACCGGAAGAGATTGGAGGTTAGGGCAATCCTTGATGGTCAGCTCAGAGAGGGAGGAAGGCAGTGCTGATTCGGAAAGTGATTGGAGATTAGGGAAATTCCTGATGTGTAGACTTTGAAGCGAAGTGAGGTGCGAAAAGGAGGAAAACCGGCCTTCTTCCAGCATTAACTGAATTTGAGGTAAATTACCAATACATAAACATTCAAGAGAGGTGAGGCTTTTGAGAACTTTGCCGCTTAATGTTTCCAAATTGCGAACGGTAAGCTTTTGAATAGAACAAGGCAACTCCCAAAGTTCAATCTCTTTGTCACTGCCATCATGTACGATCACTAAATCTCTGAGAGAGGGGAGTCTTTGTAAACGCCACTCCTTTCGGCCGTTCACCAATTTTGTGCAATGACGGATTTCAAGTTGTTGTAAATTGAAGGGCAATCCTCCTTCAGGAAAGGACTCTATTTCTGGACATTTAGACAGATACAGTTCCATAAGAGATGGAAGGAGTTCCTGCATGTGTTCTGGCAGCCACTTCAGCTTCTCACAGTGGCCAATACTCAAATATGTTATCTGGGTCCCCTCACATGCCACCGAAAGTTTTTCAAGATTCTCACAATTCCAAATATAGAGCCTTTCAGTTGCAGTAGGAATCAAAAACCTAGTAAGGTTGTGGAAACTACTTACACTCAATTGGCGTGCTCTTGGGACAAACTCGGGCGATATGGAATCACATTTTTGCATTATAAAATCCTCGAGAAACATCTCACCAACTGGCTGCTCCAATTTCAATTTCTGGCAACTAGATATCCTTATCGTCTTCAAGGTATTGGGAAGAATGATAAAAGGTAAGGAGGTAAGAGAGTTGCAATCACTAAAAAATAATCCCTCAATCTGCACAAGTTTAGGTGTCTCGAAATTGAGTTCAGGACATCTTGAAATTCTCAATTCTATCAGAGAACAAAGATTTTCAGGCAACTTCCCCGTCAACTTTGGACAATTTTTAATTGAAAGATCCTTAAGTTTAGGGAACTCAACACTTCCTAGTACGTGCCATTTCTTCCACTCCGGCATTTCTTCAAATTCAAGCTTCTCAAGAGACTTAAAAGGCTTTTTGGAGAACAAACTGCCATAGAATTCTTCCGTCACCTCTGTTATTTGATGCATCCCTCTAATAGAAAGATATTTCAAAGATGGGAGTTGTCCTAGTCCTGGCAAGGAATCACAGTCGTTGCAGTTGCTAAGAGACAATTCTACTAGCTTAAGAAACAAATGATCAGCAAGCCAATTTGGAAATTTTGTTCCTTTATATCCGGTGATTCGGAGTTCTTTTATGTTTGTGTGTGGGCGTAGCTCATCAAGTATGTCTCTTTCAGTTAGTGAATTGTCGGCAATACTTCCACTCCACTCCAAAGATAACTTCTCAACATGTTCCTTTTCCCTCATCTTTGCCTTCAGAGCTTCCCTTCCATCAGCCACATTTTGCAACTCTAGAATTGATAGAGATCCATACAAGTTATGTACTTCACCCAAATCTTTCATTCTCAAACCACCGCGACCACCTACAACAAACCTGGCTCCCACTAGAACTTGGAGGCTTTTCAACTTGCTCAGATGTAGCGGCATCTTCAAGCGAGAAGTGTTGCTTATGTCAAGATGACGCAAGTTAATCAACTTCTCCATCTGAAGCGGTAGCTCCTCAAGATCAACACAAGATGACAGGAGAAGTGTCTCTAAGTTATACAATAAACAAATGGAATCAGGCAACTTTTCAATCCATGTCTTAGAAAGGTCCAAAAATCTGAGGAGCTTTAATTTGACGAACAAGTCATTTGGCAATTCCTTAATCTGATAATGAGACAATGATAGTGCTCTCAAGGATCTTAGTCTTGGCAGTATGTCATGCTGCACCTTTTCGCTTAGACGGTAATAATATTTGAGATCAATACGTATCGGAAGCAATGTCCTCAGCTGCTCCAATTTGTAGAGGGGTGTCAATTTCTCAAAATCATCATATCCCATTGAATATGATAAGTGTCGACTTTTTTCCAACATATGAGATCCTTGGCTCTCTTCCAACCTGATACAAAGTTTTGAAGATGCAATTTGGGCTAGATCATTGACAAGGTCATGCATTAAGAATTTCTCTATGTTCCCTTCAGAAGGAGTTGGGACCCTTTCAAATAATGATCTTGATCTCAACTCGAGAAAGTATTGGTTGCCTGAATCTTGAATTATTTCATCTTCCTGTGGTACGAGACCATTGGCAATCCACAGATGAATAACTTGTTCTTTCCTAAATGCATAATCCTTAGGAAATATTGCACAATAGGAAAAACATCGCTTTAAATGTGCGGGAAGATCATTGTAGCTCAACATCAACGCCGGTAATATGTCATTGTGCGGTAACTCCCATATTTCACTTCTCACAATACGTTTCCACCCTTCAACCTCTGATTTGGAGCGTAACATGCCTGCGAGCGTCTTCAGAGCTAAGGGCAGTCCTTTGCACTTAGCTGCAATTTGTTTCCCGACCTCTTCAAGTTCCGGATGTCCATAGGATCCATGTGTTCAAATGCATGTCTTTTAAATAAAGACCAAGAGACTTCAATAGACAAAGTGTCCATGCTAATTTGCTCGTTTCCCATCATCATGGCAACACTCTCTTTACGTGTAGTCACAATGATCTTACTTCCTATATCTCCTTGCACAAAAAGATTTCTCAAGTCATCCCACTCGTTGTAGTTGTCATTCCACACATCGTCCAGAACAATAAGAAACTTCTTTCCCTTTAAGCTTTCCTTCAATTTGACTTGTAGCTGATTAAGATTGTCATCAACCTTCAAGTCAAATGAGCCAGTTTCTTGAAGTAACCCTTTTGTTATTCTGAAAGCATCATATCCCTCGGAAACACAAAACCAAGCTTTCAAACCAAAATGGTCCTTCACCTTCTCATCATTGTAAACCGCTTTAGCAAGTGTTGTCTTACCCACACCACCCATTCCAACAATAGAAACTACAGTCAACTTTTTTCCATTTGCATTTTCAGACACTAAACGGTCAATCAAATCCTCTATTTCAATATGCCTACCAAAGATATCCGATTCATCAACCAAAGAAGTTGAAGGTATTCTAGTCTCTTGTTTAGTCGAACTAAAATGCTCCTTTAAGCCAAGGCGGCCAATTTTCTTTTCCAAATCCTCCAATGTTTCCACAGTGTCTTCCAACTTCTCCTTTATGTTAAGAAAAAAATCATCACTCAAGCACAGGTTAAGGTCACTTACTTGCTGGTTGCTTGTTTCTGCAAGATTCTGATGCTGACCTTCCACCTTAAGCCTCAAAGCTTCATAATTGACTTGTTCTATTAAGTTTTCAGCAGAGTCGACAGCATCTCGAAGCTCATCAAGCCACTGGCTCACAAATTGATTTGATGCCTGCTTAATCTCTGCATCACTTAGAACTGCTTGAAGACCAAGTAAAGTCACTTTCAGCTTCTTTAAGAGCCGAACATGATGCTTATGCTTCTGAAACACCTTGAGCAGCTCACCGTGAGGAGCAAGCCTATCAAAGATAACATTCAAAGCTGAAGAGAGAAATGCACCACCAACTGCTAAGCCAACCTCCATTTCTGAAATCTACAAAGGAACCACAAAATGAATTTTTAAGAATTTTGAGAAGATAAATGTTTCTATCTTCAATTACTAACAACTTGTTTATTTTACCTGTTGAATGCTAAGAGTAATTGGTACAACTATGTTTAGCTACAGTCAACAACTATGTTTCTTGACTATTTTCATTACTTTCTCAATTCAATAATTGAAGCAAGAAAGGAATGGTACTTAGGGGTGTAGAAATGGGCCCCGCCCCAAGTGAGAGGCTCAAAAATAAAAAGCTTAAAATTATAAATTTCTACACAGCTCATTATAGTGCTAAAAGGGACCTACCATATCATGAATATGTTTACTCTACGTTCTTAAAAAGTTCGTTTTGTTCTTTAACACAACTGGATTCCTTGTTTGAATTATCCTTAACATTTTGATAAATCTTCGCACTTCCTTCCTTATCATTTGATGGAGATAAAGATGAATAAAGATAGTGCTGGAGAGAACATGTCGTTCATTACAATGTTTGTCTTGTTTTGTATAGTAATTGACAGTAGTAGATAAGAAAAGGCCAACTTCATTATTTTAAAAATCTTTTCTCTTCTCATAAAATATAATTAATAGTTATATCTTGAAGACATTGTGTAAGCAAAAACACGAAATTAGTCACAAAACAACATAAGAACTTAATAAAAAACACCTTTAAACTAGAACTACAACAACAAGATCACTACAATATTACAAGTGGAGTCTCGGGAGGGTAGTGAATTCGCAAAACTTACTCCTACCTTTAGGACTCCAGACTGTTTTCAATTATTCGCAAAACTTACTCCTACCTTGAGGACTCAGGACTGTTTTCAATAGACTCTCGGCTCAAAAAATAACCTGAAACTAAACACTAAAAACTCAAATTATATTATAGAGAAAAAAGAAAAAAAAAATAACAAAAATCTAAGATACAGTACTATTTTACCTCTTTCGACGAAAATCCCCAAACTTGTTTGAGATCATATTGATGCTTTAGGGTTTGGGAGGATTTTGTCGCCGGAAAAAATGGGGATTTTCAGACCCATTTTGGGGACAAATGGTCACATAAAAATAATAATATTATACTCTTTTAAAGTTACCCAATTTTATTTTATTACTTAAAATTTAGTAATCATATTATCATTTAGGTAATCAAATAGTCATAATAATTGGATTGACCAATCCTTAAATATCAAGTTTTGAGAATAGAAATTGCACATTAGCAGCTCTAGTATAGCATATATGTTTTAGAGATAATAATAGACACATTTAAAACGGAAAAGGGTTAAAAATACCTAATAACTTTGTGAAATAATTAAAAATGTCCTTCGTTTATAGTTTGGCTTTAAAATGTCATTCTTGTCAATACTTTGGTTCAAGATTGTCTTTGCAGTCGATACTTTAGTTCAGAAATGCCTCTATAGTTACTAAATGGGTCAAAAATGTAATTTTTTGAATAAATATATTATTTATATTGTTTTTAAACACATATTCTTCCTAATAAAAAAATTATTAAAGAACCCTATTCTTGTTTTCTTTATTTTAAAATTACTTTTAACAAATAAAAATGTAGGAAGTAATTTTTTTCTTCTTAATCTCATTTTATCAATTAGAATAGAATAATTTCATGTACCCTTTTAATGGATAATATATGTCATGTATATAAGATCATAGTAAATCCATCATTAATTTTTATTTATATAACGATAAACAATAATTACAATAAAATAAGAAATATTTTCATTTTTTATTTTTTTCTAAATTGAAGTAGGATAAATATTTACTAATTTAAAAAAAAATATTAAGAAAATGTTATAAATAAATAAATAATATATTTATTTGGGAAAGAACATTTTTTGCCAATTAAATACAATAAGAGCATTTTTGGACTAAAGTATTGAAGACTAGGACATTTTTGGATCAAACAATAAACAAAGAGATTTTTATTCATTTCACATAGTTTAAAGACATTTTTGACCTTTTTTCGTATTTAAAATAATAACTTTAGGTTCTATTTTGAAACACTATCTAAAAAACTTCGTTTTACGTATTAATCTATATATAATATAAAGGAGAAACATAGACAAGGTGATGTGGCACCTCTCTATGATCTCCATTTGTATTTATTTTTTTCTCCTTTTTTGGCTTTTCTTTCTTATCTAAATTAATTATTTTATTGTAAAAGTAAATTATTTAATTTATTACAAATAAAAATTATATTAATGGATAAACAATTACAACAAAGACTCTTCACATACAAACTTACAAGGAGTAATTATTCATAACTCATACCTCTCTAATTTCTATTCTTAATAAAAACAAAAATTATTTTTTGTCCTTTTTCTTATTACAATTACAAAATATTCATATTTTTAAATATTTTAAGTATTTTTATCTTTATTATTTAATTTATTTTAAAGGTTTTTTCCCCTTTTTCTTCTTTAAATCAATTCGTTTATTATAAATGTATTATTTAATTAATTACAAAAATCTATATATAATATAAAGCTAGATAAAAACATAATAATAATAATAATAACAACAAGGTGATGAGACACTTCTCTATTGACCTAGAAAATTATTTATGGTTTTTCTCCTTTATTGAACTTTTCTTACTATTCGTTTTCCATCTTCTTATTATTAAAAAATAAAATAAAATAAAGGAGAATCATAACCACCCTTTACCTAAACGGAAGAAGCCCTAAAGTTGATAACTGGTATGTCACATTTTACTATGCATTAAACATCTATGTAATAAATAATAATTAAAATGAAATAAAAATGTTACAAACAACCTCTATATATAATAAGTTAAGAAAAGGGTTTCCTTGAGTAGGAAAATCAGAATGGTAATGCATATGGAGGAATCAAATATGGCAAATATGAGTAGGAAAATCAGAATGTAATGCATTGGGAGGAGTCAAATATGTCAATCAAGTGATGAAAAAGTTTTTGTATCTATTTCACTCAAAGTTTGCAAAAGGCTATGAAGTATTTATGTAAATTAACAAGTATGTTATCTTTGTGTGTGTGTTTTTTTTCCATTTCTGGCTTGATATTATTTTCATTTTTTAAATTCATTTTCATGTAACTTTTCTCTTTAATAAGGAGATGGACATTAGAGGAGTATACTAATTGTAATTTCTAACGAATACTATTGTGGTTCACGGTATATTATATTGATAAATTCAACTTTTTTTTTTCTGATTTTCTTTTCTTTGAATGCATGCATGTGATATATATATAATATATAGTATAATTCGTTTGTATTACGTTCAACTAATTACAAAATTTATGATAAAATAACCAACTAATTTTTTTATTTTTTGGTTTATATGAAAATCACAGAAAAATGAGTATTAGTGGTGGAAATAATAACTATTTGAATTAACTTATTTTAAGTGTTTTTATGCTAAAGATAACTTTTAAGCACTTTTGGAGTGTTTAGAAAATTTAAAAAGTACTTAGAAGAACTTGATTTTAAGCTAAAGTGATAAAAGTAAGTCAAAAATCATAAATTACAAAATTTAACTTATTACTTTTGACTTATAAGTCCAACAATAAAAGTCAATTCAAACGAGCATTATTTCCACCACATTTGTGACCACCTATTTCAGTAGAAAATTATGCAATAATCTTAACGAAGTCAATCTGTACATACACTAAAATAATTTGTTTTTAAACGAATGTAAAGTACTTAACCATAATTATATGCAATGAAATATGATGGTTTTTAAAATAAAAAAATATATTTAATAGCAAAACACAATGTGATCCGCATCACATGATTATATTAAAGATTGAACTCAAATAAAGTAATAATATTTTTATAATATTTCTCAAAATAAAAGAAAATGTTGAATGTGTATATACAACTAAATATCTAAAAAATGCGGTTAAAATATTTGAATACATTAGAACTGCACAATTGTGAAGAGAATTTGAATACGTGATCATTATTAAAAATTTAATTAAATTTATTTAATAATTGAATTTTTTTAATATAGATATTCAAAGAAAAATATTATTTCATAGAATATATAAGATTTTAATTGGCCGCGTGAAGCGCGAATTAGTTAACTAGTTGACAAATAATACTACTATAAAAAAGTTATGTGTTTTAGCAGAAATTATCGATATCTTATAATTTTGAATAAGAAATATTCTCTTTTTTATTCTGCTAAAGATAAGGATAAGGCATCTATTGGTAGAGATTTTTTCAGTAACTATAGACTATAATTGTGTAATTGGCAATCATAGGAAAGAATTATATCATTTTTTATTTGTTTTTCTCTTTCTGGATACAAAAAAAAAAAGCATCAAAAAAACAAAAACTTGAAAATGTCTTTTTTTATAGTTGCGAATCTTGTATGTATTCTTAAGAAAAGGAATTTGTTCATTTTTCTTGATCTTAAAAAAGGCATGAAAATACGTAAGAACTCTTGAATGAAGAAAAATATAACTCCAATATTTTCTTTAAAATCAGTAGTCAATTCTATATTTCCAAAGGGAATAGTTGACAATTTAATCCAATTTTGGTCATTATATATATTCACATCAATAGTAGTACAAAAAGAAGGCACAACTCCAAGCTGTTCAAGAATAGTAGTATTGAATTTCTCGAACCATTAACTAATACTATATCAGTTCTATTTCTCAATGTGACGGGATATTTTCCACCTTAGTTTAATTTTTCTCTTGCCATGTAGGTAAAGCTAGAAGAGAGCATCATTGGTCATACATTGGTTGGTTAATCACATTTTATTCATGAAATAATTTGAACTGATATTAGTTTGAATACGACAAATCATGGGCGATATCTTTCTAGCATATGTGAAGGCTGGCGCTTTTATAATTTGTGGTAGTAAAAATTACAACTGAGCATCGATCGAAAACAATTTTTCTATCTTTCATAGTAAGGGTAAAGTCTACATAACACTACCCTACTTTCTTAATCAATATGTCAAGGGCTTGAGCCCCTAAAATAAAATAAAAAATCATGTTAAAAGTGTTGCTCCCTAAAATATGCTAATCCAAATTTAGTTGCAATCCTAGATATATATACATTTTATCAAGGTATACAATACATTCGCTATAAAAACATATATA